TGAGCACCGAATTTTTCGCACAAATCCTAAACTGCAACCAAAAATCGATCGCGTTCTGGACGAAATTGAGGAAGACCCATGGTTGGGATGGGTGCGCCATGTGGAGGGGAAGGCAGCCCAGGTGGTCCCTGGAGCAACGTATAAAAAACCCAATCAAAACCTATTACCCATCTACCCGACCAGTGAAGAGTTCACCATTTGTCTGCTAAATCAATTTTTTTCTGGTCTTCTTTTGGAATTATACTGAGGTTTTCTTTTAATGCTTGAGAAGTGAACGGCGGACTTGAGTTTAGTACATGACTAGTTTTGTCAATTTATAGTTGTAGTAGAATTGAAGTTCAACTTAACATTTTGATATATTGTGACATTAATTTAAGTATTGCATTCTCAATTTTCTAAGGACTGCAGGACAGATTGTTGTTTATTATAATTGATTTTTTATTTAATTAATGAAATTCATTTTGACTCTTATGTATGGAGAAAATGCTTATTTGTTTATGGTTTTCCCTAAATTATATGCTTGAACTATATCGGCAGCCAACGATACTGGTAGCTTCAACGACAGAGTGGCAGAGCAGCAGGTTTGTGTCGTTGCACCTATTCAACTTCTCTGGCTGTGTTACTTATGTGATCTTTGTCAAGGTTACTTTATACATAAAGGGGGATAGTAGACTTTAATTGTGAGCTTGAGTAGTCAGTCCCATTTACCACTCCTCGAAGATTCTTCTGCACCCAGAAATATTATTGTGGTTAAGGAAAAAACCCTTGAACAGATTGGAAGATGAGAATATCAGAACTCACCTCCCTTGACCATGAAACATACTTCACAGGAACTCCATTAAGTATACCAGTTGATAACAGGCTTTTAACATTTGAAGGAAAGTTGTATGAAGGGACCTTTTCAGTTGTCTTTTGCTCCTTATTCTTGGGGATGCTACGTGTCCTTGAAGTAGATGCTGAAACAACAGCCATACTTGGGAACTTCACAGAACCTTTTTGACCTAATGCCCCTGAAGGTTGAGCCGAGAATTGATTTAGTAAAACATCATGGTTGCTTGTGAGCTTTCTTTCATCAGGATTATCCTGGAAGGCCCCAGAAGATATATTAGTGCCTTCTCCATGATGATAGTTTGGACTAATTGGTAGGATACTGGAATTTCCATTATTGTAGATGGTTCCAACAGGAACATGCTCATGTTTACAGCTCCTGAAGTAGGTCTGTTGCTAGCAGCTTCTACTGCTTGCTTCTTGTTGCTGAATAGCTCATTCTCAGATGTACCCATAGACCACTGAAGAGCACGTTTTTCCCATGTTGTTTAATTCTCTTAAAGTTTGGCTGCGGTCAGTGCCATGGTCCTTACTCGCAATTCATCACCTTGTTTTGCATCACTGTTTCTACCTTTCTTCTTGCTATATGATTTATTTTTCTAGTTGTACTTGGTCGATTCCTCAGATTTTGATTCAGAAAGTTTGCATGAAAATAAATTGTGTATTCCATTTATATAGAGCTATAAAATTCTTAGTTTTCTCCAAATTTGATGCTGCTGTATTTTCCTGACTCTAGTCTCACTTGTGGAATCTATAATATTTGTGTTATTCTGTGGAATTTTGAATTTGCTTTGCTTGTGCGCTAATCTGTCATTCTATTTCCCTGTATTCAATAAAGTTAACATTGTTAGATGAATTTTATGCTTCTCATGGGTGATTTTACTATCTTAGTAATCTTAGTCGGGTAAAATCTAGGGAAAAATAAACTCATTCAAATTAAGTCTTAGCACCATTCTTACCACGGGATGACTGTTCAGTTAAGTCTTAGCACCATTCAAATAAACTCATTCAATTTTTTGAGGCATTTCAGTTCTCAACATTTCCAAAAACACCACCATATGCTCTCTCACACCCCAACCCACCACCATCCGTCCCCTACCCCTGCCCCCCACCTTCCATGACTAAAAGACAAGAAGATCTAGAAAAGGTAAAATAAAGAACAAGAAAAGTAGATAACCTCATTCAGAATTGTGCCAGGTTATTCAATTTTGCAATTCAAGGTTTTATATTCGCATTTACCTTTTATTTTCGGTTTCATCCTCTTGATTTGTTTTTAGTTGTCCGTTTATAAGTGTGTTTATAAGTGTGTTTTTACATTTTTAATGCTTGACCTTATAAATAGCACCAAATTTGAATTTCAGGCCTCTGCGGCCAAGGATGACGACGCTGATGATGTAGATTTGTTTGGTGAGTAGACTGAAGAAGAGAAGAAGGCTGCTAAAGAATGTGCTGCAGCCGTGAAGATATCTGGAAAGAAGAAAGAGAATAGCTTCTGTGTTCCTTTTATGATGGAGTTTTTTCATTACCTTTTTATTTCATTTTGAAACTCCTTTTTATTTAAGTGGTGTTGTATCACATTCTAATGTTGAAGTGTATGAATTCAAAAATTTGTAATTAAATTATCAATTTTTATGTANAACGTTTGCCAAACGTTGCTGTAGGCTGTCTTTCGCAATATTTGTCAAACATTGTCGTATCTCTACGGCAACATTTTTTAAACGTTGCCGAAGACTTTCGGGAACGTTCAAAAAATGTTGTCGTATCTCTCTACTCTACGACAACACCTCGATTTGTAACACACGTCCAAACATTTTTTGAATGTTGCCGTAGGCTATATTTGTTTTAGTGTGCAAACGGCTCTTTTGCCCAGAAATAACATGTTCCTGGAAATTCTTGCTCATATCTACTAATTAACTATCATATCAACACTAAACAAAATGACATCGCAGAACAAACTTTAAATTGTTTGCAAGGATGGATCGTTTATACTAATTGATGGATAAGAGGATTTTAATGGAAATACTATGGACCAAATAAATGTAATGGACTTTCTTAGCCTTAGATGTCCTTTCATCTAGAACCTCGCAATGGCGTTATCAAGATTCACTCTTCTTGAGATCGATAGTGCAATTAAGTCTTGGTTTGAATATGAAAATTTCACGGGGTACGTTTAAAACATGATTGTTGCATAATATAGTGTGAGCGTCTATATATACACGAACATGTTTATTAATTAGTATCACAAAATAGTAACAATACATGTTTATAGAAACCTTATCGCACCAATTCATTACCACAAAATCTTGGATATTCTTGGGAAGATATTTGTATTAATTGTGGGTAAAAAAAAAAAAGCAACAAAAGAAATATATATATATACAAGGAAATGTTGAATGATGACAAGGAAGCTAACCAGCTGAGAATGAAGTGTCAACCACACGAGCAGCAATAGAAATCCACCCTGGAAGGAATGATCCAGAAGGATTCAATCACATGGAGCTTGTTATTTTTTGTAACCATAATTGATTCTTTGTAATTATTCCTCTCTCATTGCACCACGTTTTGTATATATGTAAAGCTGTGTATTCTTTGATCTGAGTGGTGGAAATATAATTTAGTTGAAAAGCTTTTCTCCACCTTCATCTTCCTTTCGTTTTCTATAGTTTGTTGAGCCTTTCCATTTTCATTTCAATTCTCATTTGTTATATGGTATCAAAGACAAACCATGGCCGATCAAAATGTGGAAATGCAACAAAATTTTGAAGTCCAAAGTAATTCATCAAATGCTAGTGCAAATCAAAACCCAAATACTAATCCTGAAAATGGATCCAATTTCAAAACTCTCGATCNTCTCAAAACTCTTGATCCAACACATCCGAGCAGCCCCTTTTTCATTGGAAGCAATGATACTAATGGAGGTGTCTTGGTTACTCATACACTAGAAGCAAACAATTATCACTCCTGGGCAAGATCCATAAAAAGAGCCCTTAGAATCAAGAACAAACCGGCTTTCATTAATGGAACAATCTGCGAACCAACTGACCAAGACGACCCTCTAATGGAGCACTGGCTTAGATGCAATGATATTGTTATTACCTGGCTCCAGAACACCATGGCAGTGGATATCAGGTGCAACACTGTGTACGCTGAGACTGCACATCAATTATGGTTAGAGCTCGAACAAAATTTTGCACAGCAGAATGTCCCTAGGATCTATGAAGTTAAACAGGCCATCATGATCTTAGTTCAAGGCCAAGATGATGTAAGTGTTTATTTCTCCAAATTTAAAACTCTTCTGGATGAGCTCCTAAATTATGAATCAATCCCCAATTGCACTTGTGGAGGACTAGAGATGGTGGTTCAGAACTAACAACGAGATTGGGTGATGAAATTTTTAATGGGATTGAATGAATCAAACAAAAATATTAAGACACAGATCCTACTAATGAAGCATTTTCCTACTTTGAATGATGTCTACGCTACCATCCAACATGAAGAGAAAAGAAGACAGATATCAGTAGAAGGATCTGCGAATGAGCATCTATCATTCGTCTCCAAAGGAAACTAGAAAGAAAGTGGAAAATAGGATTCCCCACTACAGAAGAAAGACTACTACTGCACATATTGTAAGGTTACAGGACACTCTCTTGAAAGATGTTTTAAGGCCAACCTAAATAGGCCTATATGCTCCCATTGCCAAATGCCAGGTCTCAAGGTTGATAAGTGCTTTAAACTTCATAGATATCCATCAACCCCCAAATATAATGGAAAGAACATATACAAACTAGCAGCAAATCAGGCCACCGCTACTATGTCTCTAAATCAGGAACAGAACAACAAAGCTCAAGTGCCAATGACTCAAGAGCAATATTTTCAACTCATGGCTATTCTGAAACCACCAAACCAGGGTCAAAACATCGAACCAAATTCTGAGAATGTTGTTCCAAAAATCTATGGTACATCATATTGCTTATCGTCTGTTAGAACTAAATATATTAACAAACACAATGCCCCTTAGATTTTGGACACTGGTACAATAAATCATATGATCTGTTCACCATCACTTTTCACCTCCAGCAAATCACAAATTGATTGCCTTGTTTCTCTGCCAAACGGAAACACCATCCCTATTACACAAATTGGGATAACCCAAATCACAAAATCTTTAACTCTCTATGATGTGTTGTGTGTCCTCTCTTTTGATTTTAACTTAATATCTATTAGAAACTTAACCTCAGAATCACAATGCTGCATTATATTCCTTTCTGACCTATGTTACATACAGGACCTTTCGACTTGGACAACGACTAGAATGGGTGAATTGAAGTCAGACCTTTACCATATGATGAAGACACCAGTATCTCTTACAGCACTTCAGCAATGTTTGAACCAACTGATACAAATTCGTTCTATTGCAGTACCTGTGATCAGCTCTCCTAAAAGGTTTTGATGTCTGGCACTACAGATTAGGACATCCATCATTTCTTGTTTTTTTTTCTTCCAACAAAGCTATTCCCAAATTAGATAGTTCAAAACCATGTTATGTCTGCCCTTTAGCTAAGATGCACAAGCTTCCTTTCCCTGTAAGTCAACACAAATCAGAAGCATGTTTTGATTTAATACACATTGATCTCTAGGGACCTTGCAATGAAATAAGCTATGATGGAACCCGTTATTTCCACACAATAGTTGATGATTTCAGCAGGTGTACTTGGGTATACATGCTGAAATTAAAATCTAAAGCATCTAATGCTCTACAAACCTTTTATCTCATGATAGAAACACAATTTAAAACTAAAATAAAAGTCATTCGATCTGATAATGGAGGGGAATTTAACATGAAGGATTTCTACCTTAAAAAGGGAATCATACACCAAAGATCATGTGTTGAAACCCCTCAACAAAATGCTATATTTGAGAGGAAGTATCCACACATTTTAAACACTGTAAGGGCCCTGAGATTTCAAAGTGAAATGCTATTCAAATATTGGAATGATTATGTTATGACTGCAGTATATCTCATCAATAGAACACCCTCAGCTATTCTAAATCATAAAAGTCATTTTGAAATTTTATTCAAAAAGGAACCAATATTCTCCTATCTAAAGGTCTTTGGTTGCATCACTTTTGCTCCTATCCTCACACAAGGCATGCAAAAGTTTGACTCTAGAGCCAAGAAGTATGTATTCCTTGGATATCCTTTTGGGATTAAAGGATACAAGCTTATTGATTTACATGGTGATTTAAACTAGGATGTGTATATGGATACGATACTGGTGACAAATCAAAAGTGTGCAAACTACACAAAAGTCTATAGGTCAGAAGCAAGCTTCAAGGCAGTGGTATGCCAAGTTATCTGCCTTCATCACTCAACATGGATTCATCCAGTCGAAGGCTGATTATAGCTTATTTACTAAGGTCACACAGAGTTCTTTTACAGCAATTCTGGTGTATGTTGATGATGTTATCCTAGCAGGAAACTGTATGAAAAGTATCAATGAGCTCAAGGCTACACTTGATGCAAAATTCAAAATCAAATACTTGGGGAAGTTGAAGTATTTCATGGGAATCGAAGTAGAGCAAGGGATACACATATATCAAAGAAAATATGCCCTGGACATTTTGGGAGATTCAGGGACCATAGGATTAGCACTTTCCAAAATACCCCTTGATCAGAATATTAAGTTAAGAAAAGATGAGGGTGATCTACTTGCTGATCCAGCTATTTTCAGGAGGTTAGTAGGGCGATTGTTATACCTGACTATAACAAGACCAGACCTCTTATATTCGGTTCAGCTCCTCAGCCAATACATGGACAAACCCAGAATACAACACCTCCATGCAGCACACAAAGTGTTGAAATATATCGAGAGGGCACCAGGACAAGGATTATTCTACCCTACTACTTCTGATGTGTAGTTGAAAGGGTATTCAGATTCAGATTGGGATGCTTGTCCAGAAACTAGGAGGTTTGTGACTGGCTATTGTGTGTTCATTGGTTCATCACTTGTATCATGGAGATCGAAGAAGCAAAGTGTGGTCTCAAGGTCTTCTTCCGAGGCAGAGAATAGGGCAATAGCACATGTGTGCTGTGAAGTAACATGGATGAAATACTTGTTAGAAGACTTGCAAATTGAACATAATCAACCAGCAAAATTGTATTGTGACAACAAGTCAGCTATATACATTGCCACGAATCTGGCCTTCCACGAAAGAACAAAGCATATAGAAATTGATTGCCACCTTGTGAGAGATAAAATTCAAAATGGAAGTATAATTACAGAATATGTTCATACTAGATCCCAATTAGCAGACATGTTAACTAGAGCCTTGAATTCTTCAAGCCTTTACATGCATATGATTAAGATGGGAGTGATTGATATCTACTCTCCGTTTTGCGGGGGCTGTTGAATGATGACAAGGAAGCTAACCAGCTGGGGAATGAAGTGTCAGCCGGGAATGAAGTCTCAGCCACACGAGCATCAATAGAAATCCAGCCTGGAAGGAATGATCTAGAAGAGGAAAGGATCTAGAAGGATTCAATCACAAGGAGTTTGTTATTTTTTGTAACCATAATTGATTCTTTGTAATTATTCCTCTCTCATTGCACCACGTTTTGTATATATGTAAAGCTGTGTATTCTTTAATCTGAGCTGTGGAAATATAATTCAGTTGAAAATCTTTTCTCCACCTTCATCTTCCTTTCGTTTTCTATAGTTTGTTGAGCCTTTCCATTTCCATTTTCATTTCAATTTCAATTCTCATTTGTTATAGGAAATGCCATGGTCCAAAACACAACCTAAAAGGCTGGGCATCTCAAAAATTAATCATGGTAACTGTTATTGCGCCATACATAAATCTAAAACATGTTTATTAAATCTTTACCAAAGTTCTTCAATTGGGTTAATAATTATAACTATACCCATAAATTCAAACTTAAATTCTAAAATATATTAATAAATAGTAAGGATCATGCTATATGTATCGAAATTTTTTATCGAATCTTTTACCTACTACTCATAATGGGCATTGTCGAAATTTTTAAATACATGCGAGCTCGCTCATTATGTGAGATGGAGTAATCCATTATATACAAACCATTATATACAAATGGATTAACCCAAATAGTAAAATCTAACATGATAGGTAGCTCAGCGCATGCAATGAACCATGAAACAAACTGCAAAGCAGCTTACAAAATTTGAAGCAGTAAAATATTTTTCAAATCCATACTGACTCCATTCTAGAGTACCTCCCAACACGGTTTATGGAAAGTGTGATAACTAATTCTAAAAGAATCGAAATGACTTGATTCTAAGTTTGACATGAAGCTAACTCGTGAGTCTATCTAACACCACTGGTCTCACTCTTGAATTTCAAGTATGTTAGGTTTTGATAGTTTATGATGTAATTGACAAGTATGTGAACAAAAATGATTAAGTTGGATAGGTTATAAAAGTCAAGGAGTAAATTGTAATTTTCGTAATTCAATTGCATAGGTTCTAGATTTCGAGCTTCAAAAAAGGACAAAAAAGGGCGCTGCAACTTTGCTAGACTGTCGCCAAAACTTCACTCGAGCTGTAGAAATAGAAACATTTTCGCTAGACTGTCGTTGAGTCCTTGCTTGAGCGACAAGCCGTCGCTCGACTGTCGCTGAGCTCTCGCTCAAGTGACAGGGTTAGCGGAAAATTTTTTAATCGCAATTTTAAGCCTTTTTATCCGACCGATTGAACCCTAACCCTATCATATAAATACCAGAACGCCATCGAACGTAAATTGGAAGGTTGAAACGTAGAGAGAACTTGAGAGCTTCATCTTTTCATCTTCCAATTCATTGAAAGATTTCAACCTTCATTGATTTGACTATATTTGCGGAGAAAATATCAATTCCAGTTAATTCAAATATCAAGCTTACCGAGGAACACGGAGTTCTTCAAAAACTCATAGGAGATAGACGAATCTATAAAGCTAAGGGTTAGAGAATCCAGGAAGCATTTGATATTGCAGTCAAGGAGTTGGTGCAGGAGTGCGCAATCTAGGAGGGTTGTCGATTGCAATCGGAGTTGGTGCAGGGGTACGTAATGCAGGAGGGCTGTCAAAATCTCAGTCGGGAGTTGTTGCGAGGACTATATTAACTTTAGTCAGGAGGTCAGAAAGCTCATGTCGTTGTCTTGTCTGGCGGACTCTAAGTTCGATCGTTTTTAGTGAATTTTGACTAGAAAAAGCATCCGGAGTTTTTACCCAATTGGAGTTTCTCCGTGAACATTACGCGTGTTTTTTACTATTTTATTTACTGTTTTCATATTCTGCGATATTCAAACACAGGGTAATTGGACTGTATGCTTAACCATCTAGAGATAATTAATTAGTGATTTGTTATTGGTTAATTATAATTTTTAATTCCGCATTTACACCTATCCACCCCTCTTTAGGTGTAGTTTGAATCGAAATGCGTAAATTTCAATTGGTATCCAAGTGCACCAATAAATTTTCGACGAGGGACAGAAAACTGGTAGCATATCATAATGTGAATTTCATATATTAAATGCACCTCCATCTACCTTAATAGGTTGCTGTCGAAAATATGATCTATGACAGTATGTCCCCTTTCCACGAAAAATTTACATAATTAGTCAATTTATCATGATTAGAACATGTAATGTGTAAAACACACTTAATAAATATCTCAAACTTAAATTCTTATTCGTCATAAGCAAAATCGTATTTGAAACTGCTCAAATAATTCACAAAAGCCGACGACAACTCGATCATTAAAAATCCAACCTCCCTCTTTTGCTTGAAAATAATTTTCTCTGTCATAAAGTGTGCATGCGTGTGTCGGCGTGTGTAAACAGAGAGTGAAGAGGAAAGTTGGGAATGCTTTCTAAAGTTCCTTTATATTCAAACAAGGATTGGAGCATATGAAAAGTCATCCGACTTTTGGAGAGAAAAGGTCAGGTTTCAATTGCGGGGATTCATGGGTCGCTTTAAAGATCATTAAGAAGTGTAATTGAAAGGTTTTGGCGTTTCTTCCTTCATATATGGAAGTTTTCTGTGTGAATTTACCAGTGTTCTAAAAAGCGCAAAACGTAACTAGAAGTGGAGACCAAATTTCCAGTTTTACAAACCTAAGTGTAAAAAATAATAATAATAATATTTTTAGTATTAATTTAAAATTATAAAATACTATATTTACTTAATAATTTCTACAATTATTTAATTATATAATTTTCATAAGAAAACCGTGAAACTAAAGTCAATTAAAAGAGTTTTACAAAAAAAAAAAAAATAATTAAAAAATTAATAAAGAGTTCTGAGGTGCGTATGAAGCAATCAATTTTGCAGTTGATCGCTTAATTTCCCGCTTACTACTAAAGCGTGACGTTTTGCCCGCGTCTCAATCCTTTATGCACTTTTTAGGACGCTGAAGTTTATATGTTTGTGCATTAATTTCAACCTTGGTCCCTGAACATTAAACAAATAAAGAAATTGCAACATAAATCCCTAAATATGAGCTTATAATCCATTTTACTTTTCATTCATAAAAACTTGCGATTCAGTCACTTATGAAACAAACTGTGCAAATTAGTCTCTTAATAATTTATTAATGGTAAAAATAAATTTTCCTTCCATTGGAAAACTTTCATTTCAGTTCTATCTTCTTAAAATATTTTGCAAAATGACATGTATGGTTACTATTACTTCAACTTCGGTTACTTGTGTAAAATATCATTAACGTTTATAAACGAGGAAGTAGAGCAGCAGCAGCAGCCCCATTTTGATGCACGTGAATTTAGAAAAATTCACATGTCATCAAATTAATTTTGTTACATGTGATTATGTTGAAAAAAATTACTATCTTCATTAGATTTTGAAGAATTAAGTTTTCGTGTTGATAAAGTGTTATGAAATAAAAATAATAGAACAACAAGAGCTTGTTTGAGAGGGATTAAAACCAGATTAAAATTGAAAATATAACCGCTGGAGTTGACTTTTATTAGACGAGTGAGACCCAATACGACTATATTTTCAATTTTAATTGAATTTTAATCCTTTCCAAACAAGCTCTAAGAGAAGAAAATGTAAGAATTAAGACTCAAGTGTATATTTTATTGGGAATCAAGATCAGTATTTATAGAGTTATAATTGCAATGAAATGACTTTCTGAACTAGATAAGATTTATCCATATATTATGATAATATTAAATAATCATAAATAATTATCTTATTATTTTACAACAACAGACGATGAGTTTTAATTGTACTAGTATGATAACTCAAAAAATTGGGGTGATGCTACAAATACATCACCCTCTACGTAAGGGTGTCCATAATGGACACTCGACGCCTCTCCATTGGAGGAAGTGCAGGTGGGGTCGGCACTTCATCCCAAGGGGAGGCGCCGAATATCCATTATGTACACCTTTATGTAGGAGGTGATATACACTTAGCATTTTCCAAAAAATTGTATAGCAAATACAAAAAGAAGGTGTCTTGAAAAATATTTTAAAAGAAAATTCAAGAGTTGCAAAGGCCATCTCGAAAATTCCTAAACGAAAGTGTCCTCTCAATATTACCGTACGCGTGCCACTCTTGTGAACCAATTTATACCTGGCACATTGATTCTCGGAATTTTCTACCCCCGGCCTGCTGTGCTTTTCACTTTTTTTTCACACTCAAAACCAAATTTTGTAGCAAACGCAAACCATCAGCATCTGCAGTTTCTGACCGCAATCGCCATCTTTTTGGGTATGTATGTATATAAAAATCGAATTCTCATGGGTATCATCATGTAAAAATCTCAACATTTTTGCTATTTTTGGATTATTTTTGGGTGTTTCTACAGTTTTCTTGGATAAGAATGACTTGCTCTGTTATTTTAGGAGTAGAATCGCGGAATTTTTATTGTTCTTCTTCTTGTGCGTTTTTCTTGGGAAGGAAGGGTTTAAGGGGTTGTGATTTGTTCTTCATGTGCTGGCTGTTGTAATCTCCTGTGATCATACATCTTCGTGATGTGTTTTCCATAACTGATCGTGGCATTTCCATTTATTTAACAATCTTTTCATGGTGAATAAATTTCTTTTTAGGGTTTATGAGATTTTACACGTGGCTCCTAAATTGTGTGTTAAATATTGGGTTTTTTTTTTCCCGTTTTCTTTCTTATTTTTATTCTATGTACGGTTGCCCAAGGGGGTACATAGTTGAAGTTTCAATGAGTTCAATTGTTATCAAAAACCTTGAGGCCTCAACGGAAGATGCATTTCTATTTGATGATCAATAACATTTAAAAGATTCCTATATATCATAGTTGGGGTATTTTAAACATTTGATCCAAGGCTTGTTAGCAATTAGAATCATTAATATGATTTCGAAGATACTCATCTAATTTGTTTTTGGTTCAAACTAGTTCATTGTAAAGTGACAATAAAATTCAAAGTATCCATCAACAATTTTCTTTCTATATCTTTAAAAGCATTTAGTGTTGGTGCATATTCTTTTTATAGATAACAAATTGTCCATCAACTAAAATGCCATCCTGGCGCAACACTTAATTACTTAAAGTATATGCGAGGCGAAAGAGGAATTAAATTAATTAGGATTTCTTTAAATCTAGTTTGTTTAGATTATAATTTTTTCCTTAGTTTTATAATAGCATATGTTCAATAAAGATTTCTATTTAGCTATCTAAATATGGGAATTAAGACAATCCACAACAGTACTGTTCAATGGTTTAAGCAAATTCTAGCTCTCAATGTGTGGAAAGACTCTTGAATAGTTCTGTTTATAGGCAACCCACTATTTGCTGCAGGTTTCCTGGTGGTTAAATCATGCTTGTTTCAGATGTCTTTCCTTTCACTCAATTTCTACTTGTAATTAGCTTTAATTTTTAATTTAGCTACATATATTATTGTAACTATATTAAAGTACCTGTTACCTACATTTTTGTTATACGGAGCAGGGGAAAGGGCCAAATGATGGGTAGCTTCAAACACCAAAAGGTTTCTGAGAGTCAGAATATTGATAATGGGGATGATGAAATGAGCCATTTACCTGATTGTATTCTTCATCATATTCTTTCATTCCTTCCAACCAAAGAGGCTGTAGCAACCTGCATATTATCTAAGAGGTGGAAGTTCTTATGGACATCTGTTCCCAGCATCGACTTTGATGACTCATTGTTGTATTCGAGTCGGGGTAACATTTGGCAATCACATGTCATTCATTTCATGAATTTTGTCCAGAGGGTTCTTCTGTTAAGAGATGCATCAAGCATAAAAAAATTCCGCCTTTCTTGTCGTGTTTGCTTCAGTGCATCTCATGTCCACGAATGGGTTTCAGCTGCTATCAGGCACAATGTTCAAGAGCTTGACCTTTGTCTTTTTGTGGATGAGCCTTTCATGCTGCCTTCTTGTGTTTTTGATAATGCATCACTTAAGATTGTAAAATTTGAAATGAATTGTATCCTTCAACTACCTACTTATATTTCATTTCCACGCCTTCAAAAATTGCAGCTTTGTCTTGTCACATTTCCGAAGGGTAACTCAATGCAGAAGTTATTTTCTAGTTGTCCTTCTCTTGAAGAGTTGGCTGTATTAGATTGTGAATGGATGAATCTGAGCAGGATAACAATATCTATTCCTTCTTTGAAGAGTTTGACCATAGATGATTTACCATATTGTTCTGTAGATGATCTATGTGGTTGTGAAATCAAGATTGATGCTGGAAATCTTTCATTTTTTAAGTACAGTGGTTATCTTTCAAACGAAATCCATCTATGTGATCTTTCTTCGTCGGCCTTTGCATCGATTCACATCCCCATTATTAGTGAAAGGCGGTGGGAAGTTGCTTGTCGTACTGTTAAGCTGTTAGGAGGGCTGAAAAATGTGAGTAGCTTGAGAATATCCAGTGGCACCATCAAGGTAATTAGTATTTTCTGCAACAAATCTTTTAAGGCATGTTTGGTAAGGAGTATTAGATCGTATTAAAGAGTATACAGTGGACAAAATTCCAGTTCTTTTTTTTTAGGTAATACTATCTAGTACTATCTATTCCAGCTTATCAAACATGCTGATATAATACTAGAAGTTTTGTCAATTAAAACGTTCATCTTTGGGCTTATCCTGACATATTGTTATTCCTTTGTGAAGTGTCTCTTCCTTGCAGATGATGTGCTAGATCATATTCCTATGTTTCAGAACTTGACACATTTGGAGTTGAGCAGAGGATTTGAAAATGATTTCATTGGACTGTTGTTGGAGTTTCTCCAATTCTTGCCTAAGTTAGAATCACTTTTCTTTTTGGAGGTAGATATCTGTAACCTTCGTGCATGTTATGGTACGCAGTATTGGACCGGACCAGACAATGTAATATACAAGATGTTAGCCTTCGTTTACTTCCTTAATACTGTGCGGTGCTATTAATCCTCCATACCAAACATGCCATGGATATATTGGCATGTAGAGAGAGATTCTCAACTTAAAAATGACTGTTATTCCATTCAGGGAGTTGGGACTGGTGAAGGTGATTGCACGCCCAAATTGGTACCTGATTGTGTGTTGTCTACCCTAAAGACAGTGAACTTCCAGAAGTTCCATGGGTGTAATGCTGAAATGGATTTACTCAAGTTTTTGCTAAAAGATGCACTTGTCTTGGAGAAGATAAACTTGTTCTGTTCCAAAAGTCTTTCAGGAGATCTTGAGAACCAAAAGAAGATCGGCAATCAGTTGCGTGGAGTTTCCATAGGCTCCAAGCATTGCACACTTGCGTTCATGTAAAACTTTACACAACCTGTACGTGTTTTTTCTTGCTTGCTAGTTGTTCTTATTCATTACATGAAAGTAGTGTTTAGTTTATTTCTTTCTTTCTTTTTTGATGCTGTGTTCCGAGGGTAAGTTGTGGTTGTGTGTCTGTTGGTTGGCGGTGGTTTGGGGGTGGGGGAGCATGTACATTATTCTATTTTTGAAGGGTTGAAAATGAAATGCTACTAATCTTTACGGTCCTAGTTTCGACTGTTGTGGAGGGGGTCGAGTTAAAAAGATTGAAAGAAATCTTGTAGAACGAGGAAAGCAATTAAATGATATTTACTAGGATAGAATAGAGAGAGGAGACTTGCCTGTATGGCTATATCTGTTCTATTTACTTTTATACTCGGCCATACCAACATGGTAATGTAAATTACCTTTCTTTGAAGTGCATTTATAAGATCAGCTCCCCCGAGTCACTAGAAAGAGGAAGAAATAATTGGAGAGGCTAGAAACTCAAGAACAATAGCTCAGCTTATTATTCTTTGTATCCAAGGGTAAATTAGCTTCTGCCCTTTTGCTTGTGCAAATTAACAGCCTTAAAGCAAATGTTCAGAACTGGTTGTGCACTGCAATTTCTGATTATCCTGCATGAATAAATATTCTACTGCTTGCTTGAGCTCTCTTTCATAGATAATTTGTGGTCAGCGAATTTCTGTTGACATCAAAAATCTTAAACATGATGCTTCTTAGAAGGAAAGAGTTATCTTATTCTGTTTATATACTAACATGTATTTTCCCCGTCTGTACTTCAGCTCAAATTATTGCAACTGAAGACCTCTCGTTTAAGGGGATTTTGCTATGGACAGCTTTCTTTTGACATCGACCAAAGAATTTTGCTTCTCAGATGCTTTTGTATAGTTAGTAATGTAGCTAGAAGAAGGTGATACTTGTTGAAATTTTTTGATGTTTCCAGTTACTAATACTATCAGGCGATGGAAATATACAGTAATCTCTAGCCCAAAACTATTAGATACTGCTGGATTCAGGCTACTGATCTGGTCAATGTTTTCTTCAGATCTGATTTGCACTTTTATGTACTGGCAGGATGTGAGTATACGGAAAACAATATGACGAGCTTGGTTCCAAAAAGGATCTCTCTTTTGTATATAAGAATATAGTACGAATTACAATGCGCGAGCATGCTCTTGTACTAAAAAAATGGGTAAACTTAGGGATTGGTTCTTCAACCTTTTACGTGGTGTGGTATTGGGTCTTCAATTTTTAAAAGTGAGGTTTTGATTCCTTAACCTATATAACTATTGGAATTTGTGACGAAAACTTTGAATGACTTGTGGCATGAATGTTGCATGCAGTGACTCTTGAATTAGGCTTGAAGTTATTTGGTTTGATAGTTTTGTACTCTAGTATAGATCACATGAAGTCGCGTGCGATTCTAACGCTTCTTATTTTTGCCTACACGAGGACCCAAATTGACAGATTGAAAAAATTGAAAATTGAGGACTTGTAGCTTACGTTTTTGAAGTTTGGGTTTTAAAACTACACTAATTGAAAGGTTTGGAGGGCCAGCAATAATTTTTCCTATAGTATATGATGTAATAATATGCTTTTTGTAATTAATTAATTATTTGTTCAACTTTATCTTATGTGCTCGAGATCATTTTTGTACTTGACAATGCAAATGTCAATAATGCTATGTTTCATAGTTCATTTTTTCCAAAATTTTCCATGGAAATGGTTCTTTGATAGGTTTTGTTTTTTTGCCATGGAAAATTAATTCCATGATTGCTCCCACAAATGCACCAATTCCTCAAAATGAAGTTTAGGTGGGAAAATGGTTTTCAGGTTATTTTTTATTTTTTTATTTTATTTATTTTTGCAATGGAAACAAATTTTATCACTAATTTTTTAAAAATCTCTTTAATGGACAATTTTCATAAAAAAAAGAAGTCGAAAGAATATCAAAAGATTCAAAATTTAAATATTTTTACGTGAAAAATTATACCAATCAAATACAATTAATTGACAATTCTTAGGAAAACAATTTTAGGTAATTTAATTTTCTGAGATCTTTTTTCTTTCATTCAAATTTTACTATTGCAATCAAACGGATCGTAAAAATAGTGTACAGATGGCATAATTCAAACAAAATCTTTCTGGGCCACTGGGTTCGAACCTTCTTTCGGATATGATGAAATTAAAAAAGAAAATCTTATTTTTTTGAGAATAATCTACAGATAATTATTTCTCCTGCAAACTTATTGATTATATTATTTTCTTTACACAACAATTTCGGTTCTATACCCACAGTTTTCTTTTTCTCTTTTTTTTTCTCTTCTTTAATTTAAATTTTGGGTAAATTTCTCCATCTAAACAAAATGTTTATTTGGATGTGTAAATGATCAAGTGTCACTCACGTGGTGATGAATTAAAAAAAGAAAACTTTTTCACAAGATTTCCCTTAACAATCATGTTACATTTACATTTTCATTGACATTAATTTTTACACTCTTTTATGTGGTAAGATTCAAACTCTTGGTTTTGAATACATCCATTACATCACTACACATATTTGTTTTATATATTGGGGAAATGTCAACCACCATGTCAACCATGGTGTACATATAGCTTAATTCTTCTTTTAATCCCAAAAAGTCTAACATTAAATTCCACACTATTCACGAAACACATTTACTTGTTGGGGAAATTTTTCAATTTTAGTGTGATATTATGTAAATGTTATGTAACCATTAATCGGAAACATTGGGCACTGTTTTAAAAAGAAAAGATTACGAGTGCAACAAAAATAAGGCGAAGACATAAACGACACACTTAGTAAAATTGAAGACCCTCAATGAAATTTATTTGGGGTATTTAGGGGTGGCAAACAGATTGAGTCTCTCATGGATTGACATTCATGATTCGTCTCAACTCGATCAATTTGGTGGCTTGAACTCATTTAGAGATGAATCATAAGTCAAACTAAACATTATTTTTACAAGTCGAGTTTTAAGCTATTTTTTGGCTTGTTTTATTAGTATCTTAGAAAAATGAATCGGCTCGTAAGCTCGTGGACAACTCAATTTGATCCATGAAGGGCTAGAATCAAAAGATCGAACCAAATCGAATTTGTGAGTACGAGCCAAACTTTACTCGATCATGGAACTAGCTCAAACTAACTCATTGGTATCCCTAAATTTACCTTTATATACCCATCTGACAATTATTATTTAAGGGGAATATAGTTTTAAATAGTGATTTTTAGGAGAATATGTGATTAAAAGTACATAAAAGTTTTAAATTTACGTTTATAATATTTTATTACGTGAATATATGATTAAAAATGAGCCTTTGGAAGAAATGAAAAGAAAAAAAGAAAGTAAGGAAATAACGCCGTCAATCAGGGGCTAAATTTGACCTCCCACAAAAATAAAATAGGTTTTTATATTTGGAGGTTTCAATGTACGGCGGGCGACACAACTGAGTATTTTGGTATTTGGTGCCACCTTCTGCACTCCAGAATGGTCGTCTTTATTCAAAAATAACTCTCTTTCGTGAAAATCACACTCAGATTCAGTACTCTTGTGCAGCTGAGATTTCAAAGTCCTTAAACTCTAAATTCTGTGTTTTTTCTGGGTATATTTTATTAATAATTTTGTATTAATTCGTACACAAACTCTCATACACATGGTTGTTCAGGTTATTTTTACATAGAGAAGAATAGCCGCGAACATCCAGCGATCTTTTAAGGTCTATCCCCTCATTGTGATTTTTGGTTTAAATTTCCAATCTTTAAATAATGCTCTCTCTCAAGCAATCAACTTTGTCAATCCCCGGCTCAGATTTCCTCCGGCGAAGGTCTCCGGCTCTGTACTTTGAGCCGCCTGTTTTCCCGGTGGTCAAGACTAGCCGGATTTCCATTTTTTCACTCTCAAAGCCTCTCCACATCTCTTCGGTAGAATCTTTCTCCCCTTGTTTAAAGAAATGTTTGAAAAATAGTAAAGGAAAGGAGCAGTCTTTGGTCCGGTGCAAGGCATATGAAGCCGACCGATCGGAGCCGATTAAGGATTCTACACTGGCCCGATCTGAGGCGGCGAGGAGAGTGAAGATCGGAACTTATTTTGCCACGTGGTGGGCTCTGAATGTGATCTTCAATATATATAACAAAAAAGTGTTGAATGCTTTTCCCTTTCCGTGGTTAACTTCAACTCTTTCACTTGCTGCTGGGTCATTGATCATGCTTATTTCTTGGGCTCTGAGAATTGCTGAAACTCCAAAAACTGATCTTGAGTTTTGGAAGACCCTTTTTCCTGTAAGCATATATAGGGCTCTACACCGTCTGGGTTTGCTTTTAATTCACTTTTATGATCTGGGTACTCTTTATTTTTGTTCTATAGTGATTTTCTGATCTGGGTATGCTTTTCATGATATGGATTCTTGGTAGTTTGTAGTTTTTCTTCAATTTTAACAATTTCATATGAATCTTTGTATGAAAAGATCTAAGCTTTGATTGTTGTTGATGTTGGGTTGGTGTGTATAGGTTGCTATTGCACATACAATTGGGCATGTAGCAGCTACTGTGAGCATGTCGAAGGTGGCTGTTTCATTTACTCACATAATCAAGAGTGGTGAACCGGCTTTCAGTGTTTTGGTCTCGAGATTTCTCCTTGGGGAGACATTTCCACCCGCGGTTTACTTGTCTCTTGTTCCGATCATTGGTGGTTGTGCACTTTCTGCTCTCACTGAGCTCAATTTTAACATGACTGGTAAAATATTGATCTTTGTGTAAAATCTGCAGTTATCTGGTCCATTAACTTTGATTGGTTTTTTTTTTACTGTTTATACACAATTTGCAAAAGAAAAGAGGATTGTGATTCAATCATAGATTTAAATTTGATTAAGTTTTTCTTTAGTTCACGAAATGGCGGTGATCTTTTCCGTGAACACATTAATTCTTGTTAAAGTAGGTGACTGGTTTGGACGTTTATGGTATTTTTGCAAATTGAATTAGGTTATTGGGTGTCTTGAATGTCAATGGCCAGAATTTGGGTTGTTTTCTAATTTATATGGTTGTTGGCTATCAACATCAGGTTTTATGGGGGCCATGATATCGAATCTGGCATTTGTTTTCCGAAATATATTTTCTAAGAGGGGCATGAAGGGAAAGTCTGTGAGCGGAATGAACTATTATGCCTGCTTATCAATGCTCTCTCTCTTGATTCTGACCCCATTTGCAATTGCCGTCGAAGGACCACAAATGTGGGCACTTGGTTTTAAAGAAGCGCTGTCTCAAATTGGACCACAGATCATTTGGTAAACTCACCTACTCTTATATCCTTTTAATTTGTTTGGACAGGGATGCCTCGTTTGGTTAAGTGGGACTTGATAGCATTACACAATTTCAGTAACTAAAATTTTGTTCGTTTAGTAGTATTGCTAACCATGCTCTCGGTACATATTTGATGCCATGAATATACTGTAAGATGCAGCCAATTAGACTCATGCGACAGAATTGCTTCCATGAAGAATGCGTTTGCAATGCATTATGGTATTTTGTGTCTTAAGGATTTGCTCAAATAAGTATTTTCCTAACAGTTCATCATTTTTTAAAAAAATTGCCCGAGGTTTATTGTTGTTGGAGTTTAGGGAACAAAAAATAATTTGTTTTTGTTTTCTTCCTTTTTGGATTTTTCTGTATTTATTGTTCCTCGGTTGCTCATATTTTACATGTTACATGACAGGTGGATGGCAGCCCAGAGTGTGTTCTATCACCTCTACAATCAGGTGTCATATATGTCACTAGACGAAATTTCTCCTTTGACGTTTAGCGTCGGAAATACCATGAAACGTATCTCTGTAATCGTCTCCTCCATAATCATTTTCCGCACACCTGTTCAACCTGTCAACACTCTTGGAGCAGCCATCGCAATTCTTGGAACTTTCTTGTATTCACAGGTAGATTACTAACTATTTTCCTGTAGATTCTTGTGTGGGAAACTGTTTCAATGCTCAAAAGCCTTCATTTTCCAAAGTTATCGTCAATTCTGTCGAAGCAATTAGTTTGTTGCACTGCTAGTCATGTGGCAACAAATTAATGTTAGTTCGCGTACCCTGGATCACCTTTTCCTTTTGCCATACTATAAATACGTACTTGTGCGACTAAAGATGTCTGACCTTATATTTTATTTGGGATCTGTTAACAGATTAGTGTTACCAGGTAATGTTTATATACCTCGAAATTAAGACAAGGTTGTCTGTTCTCTGAATATATGATTGTGTCGATTCTTGTTTCAAACAATTCCAAGGTTTTATAACGGATCGACTCACATACTATTTCATGTATTTTTGCTCATCTTGATAACAATCCGTCATGGAAATCAATAGCATATAAGCACATTATTCTCACTATGGCTTTATCGTATATGACAGGCAAAGCAGTAAGAAATCTGGAAGCTGAATTTAATTTGCCGAATAGCATGTAGGAGTGGAAAGAGCGGACAAGATTGCTGCTGCATGAAGGTCGTCTTTGATCCACGATCAACCACAAGCAGCGGCTTTTCTAGTAGATAGTAGTAGTAGTAGCAAGTCGTAAGAACTTTCAATGCTATACAATGCTAGTCTGTTTAACCAGTTCTATATCTTGTATTCTACAGTAGTTTTCAAATAATGGTAGTATCAGTTTTCCCTGAATAAAAATGCTCGTAGTTTAAACTTTAAAGGATAATGAGTAATGACATTTCGTTTTCTTGGAAATTGATTGCTTGAATGCAATAAATCCTGGATTCTTTTCATGAAAGATGGTTGAGATTGTGCATGTTTGACAGATGTTTGGGTGGTATATAAGTGGATAGTGCTTGTGAGTCATATGAGATTCGTGGATAAAAATAAGTGTTTTGACCGATTATAAGTAGTTTATAAATGAAAGCAAAACAAGGGTGTCGTGTAACTTTTCATCCAACTTTAACCTAGTCGAGTAAGCTATGTAAAGAGAGTGTGTATTGTTGTAACTTGTAAGGGTGTAACGATACTCATTAGATCGTTTTTCTTATATTAACACCATAAATTTTATTGAACTATGTTACTTGTACAATGAATTTAACAATAAGTTTGACAATGTGTGAGTTTACAAGCATTCTGTCCATTGATTTGAAGGATTGTTTTTGAATTCAATGGCAATAATTTATATACATCACAAATTGTCAAAATCATTGTGCAAATTCATTGTACAAGTAGTTTAATTCAATTTTATTAATTGCATCACATTTTAACTGCAATGGAGATTTTCAACATTTGTTCGTTTTTTCATTTAAGTTAACTTTTTTCAACCCATTATCATTCTCAATCTTCTACTAGTTAGTACATCTTGTCTCTGATGATATTTTCGATCCAAAGAAATCCATTACGAGAGTGTACAAGACTTATTTATTTTATATATTTTTAGGTAGGCAAACAAAACAACAAATGAAAAGATAAAAAAAAAAAATACTTATTTCTCTTTTCAAACACATGCAAACTAAGTACTTCAAAAATCTTTATCAGGAAGATACCGTGTTAATTAATTGAAGGTTAATAATAAGAATGTGATTAAAAAAAAAAAAAAAGTTAAAAGGATAAATTCTATGAAGAGTAAATTCTAGGGAAAATTGCAGTTGCGATTCCAAATCTTTTCGTTTTTTGAATACTTTACATCGACCTTCATTTTGTGCCACCACAGGTTCCAAACCTGTGAGAAATTCGCACCGGATGTCCAACTGGACAGAAACCGTCCAAATCATCGTTAATCAACTTGAAAAATTAAAAAATAAGATATTTTGTCCATTTTAAGGAGGGGTATTTTCATCCATACAGTACTTTTCCTTTAAAAACAATAAATAAAAGAAAAAAGCATAATCTTCTTCAAACCCCCACCCCCTTAAACTTGGTGCCATTGTTGTTGAAATTGAAATCTTTCCACCAAAGTTTTCACCACTTTCAGTGTTATCAGTAGATGCAACTGTACCACCAATTATGACAGTTGGATTAGTAGTGGTGGTGGTAGTGGTGCTAGTACTAAAACTCATGTTCATTCCTACTTGAATTGCCGAAACGAAATTTGAGTTGGGCCATCCAGAAATGTTGAAAATCGGTGTTGCGGTGGCAGATATGGCCCAAAACTGGGGTTGATTTGACGACCCAATAGCCGTGATGGTTGCGGTGCCACCTGTAGGCGGGATCATGAAAAATGTGCCGATTGGGAATACTGGAACAAGCCCTTGCGGTGCAATGGATAGCACAAGGGCAAGATTGGAAGGTGACATCATAAAACTCATTGCTTTGAGCCCTTTTTCGTCGCTTTCTAGCTTCATCTCCGATAGTTTCTGGGGAGGTGGAAGCGGTGCTGGGTGTCGTAGGGATTTTTAGCATGCCGTTGAAGGAGACGTCGACGGCGGGAACGGTTCCGCTGCCGGTGGCTTCAATGATGGCGGGCTTAGCCCGTTCAAGAAGCCAGTGGATTGTCATTCCGTTAGACTTGTGGCCTAGCTCTCGCATCAGTTGGAAGATTCTGGCTGCACAAGCCCCTGGCATGCGGATTCTCCTACCACAACCCTCAACTTTGGTGTGGCAATCCTTGGTGGACCTCTTTGGTGGCGCCGCCACCAACGCACTCGTCGTGGCGAAGGCGATGACATCACTGCAAGGGACTCCTTTGGACAGAAACCATCCAAATCACTGTTAGTCAAAATGGGGGATTTGAAGAAGATGGTGATTTTTTTCTTTTATTTATTGTTTTTAAAGGAAAATTACTTTATGGACGAAAATGCCCCTCCTTAAAATGGTCAAAATATCTCATTTTTTAAATTTTCTAGGTTGACTGATGGTGATTTGAACGGTTTCTGTCCAGATGGACCTCTGGTGCAATTTTCTCGAAGGTTTGGAACCTGTGGTAGTACAAAGTGAAGATTGAGGTAAAGTCTGCAAAAGATGAAAAGGTTTGGGATTGCGGCTGTAATTTTCCCTAAATTCTATCACATTCCCAATTTGTTATAATTGTGACACACATCCCCATACTACCATTTGTTACACTTAAAATTGTGGCATCCACATCCCTAACATATAATATTATTTGAATGTTAAATGACCAGGTGACATTCATGCGATATCCGGCTAAAAGGGGAAAATTTTCCATAAAGACTTCTTTTATTCTATGACAATCTTAATTCTAACGGTGACTTGAACTTTTATTTAAAAATTTGAATATGGTAAAAATTTTATGTGTATGAATCAAAAGTATCCACTTCCTTCGCATAAAAGCTTTCTATTAGTTTATAACACGTGTGCCACAATTTTACCTTTGTTCGACAAACTTTATAAATTAATTTTTTAATAATCTAACTCCATTTCAATCCTACATTTATGCACTATTCACAATCAATTTTGTTACATTTACATTTTTGGTGACACTGTGTGATGTGACGGACAATCTTATTATTTATTCAAATCATTGATCAAATTTTTTACCCATCACACAATATTAACAAAAAATGTACATTTTGAATGTACAAATAGTTTAATTGTTCACAATTTGGCCTTACTCTTATCGAATAATGCTATTTAGTTTCATTGAAATTATAATGTCAATAGTGTCACCAAAATTTAGATTGTAACGTAGAGGGACTACATAACATTATCGGCCCAGATATCTCTTCTTGGTCGCAGCAAATAGAGAAGCCCACCGCCAGAACTAGTTAGTTAATTTGGCCCAAACTGCCAATAGAGAAGCCCACCGCCAGAACTCACGGCAACAAACTTCACACTCCTTGCTCTATTCTCTGCTCTCGGAGATAAACCCTAATCCTCAACATTTTGGTAAGTCCTCGCTATTAACTAGAATGGTTTAAAGTTTTAAATTCGGTTATACCTTCTTAAGTTGATTTCAGGATTTTACCAATTTTTATTATGATTTTTCTAGTATTTACGCATTTTTTTTTTCCTCCTTTGGAAAAGTAGAGAACTCAAAATTCATGAACAACGATCGAAAGGATGTGCGATTGTTCCTTTTTTTTTTTGCTTTTATGTGTATTATAAGGTACAGCGTCACGCATTTTAGTACTATTTTGTTCCCTTCATTTCCAATTATTTTTAGAAAGTTTCTTTATAACTACGCAATTCACAATAATCAGATTTTTGGCGAGGCATAATCAAAGGCATCTTGTTGTTGCATGAAACATATGAATGTTGACTAATCTTTTTGCAGATATTTTATCTGAGGACATAAATATCGCTTTGATTATTGGATTAATTTGCAAATATATAATTTTATAAAGCTTTTGACATTTGAGGTTCAACAATAAGTATAAAAAAGTTGTCTTTCTGTGTTTTTGTGTTCTGGGATTAAGTCCCCTCAGAATTAGAAGTCATTTATAAATTAATTAACTTCAAATGATATTATGTTTTACTCCCATCCTGGCATTCCACACATTGTGTTTCGGAGTTTATGGACACCTAGTTAGCTAATAGCTGGACAAATAGTTAATCTAAAACCGTAGTCATTCTTTTTACCTTTTATTAGAATATGAATAATAGTTGCTAATAGCTTATTTTAAACCCTGTTGCATAAACTTTCTTGATGCTTTTACTTGTTTCTTTTCCAGGTGTTTCTGACATGGTTGTTTTCAGTTTATTTAGATAAGAACAGGCATGGGGCGTAGGGGCTCTGCATCCCCAGTTAGGGACCGAAGGTCTCCTCGTAAGAGGAGCCCCGCTCGAACTGAAAGGTCTCCTGCTCCGCACAAGAATGCGGAGCAGCCTTCAACTCGCAAGAGATCACCAAAACGTGCAAGGTCAAGGTCCCCTATACCTTATTCAAAGGTTAGAGAGAAACCCTCTAGTCACACTAGATCTCCACAGCGCAGGAAATCAGTATCTCCTGTAGCAATCAAACAAAAGCCCTCAAGCCGGACCAGGTCCCCGAAACGTGCAAAGTCGAAGTCTCCACCACCTTCTTCTCCCACTAAAGAGAAACCTTCAAATCGAACCAGGTCCCCTAAACGTGCCAAGTTGAGGTCTCCAATGTCTCCTTCACTGGAGTTGGGAAAACCATCTTATAGAGCCAGATCACCCAAACGTGCCCAGTCAATGTCTCCTGAATCTCGTTCACCTTCGCCACGGACAAAAAGGTTAAGGAGAGCTCGAGCTGGACAAGATGATGAAAAGGGGAGTGTGAAGGACCGTGAGAAAAACCGTGTTAGGAAGGGTGATGGGGCTACACATAGAGAAAGAGATTCAGACAGGAATCTGCCAATTGAGAGAAGAGATAGGTCAGGAAGAGATGCAGTTGACAAAGAGTCTTCCAGATTAAGACGCTCTGCTTCGCCATCTGAACGCCACTACAGGAGTCGGCAGAGGTCTAAATCTCCTCGAGCTTCTGATAACAGAGAACGTGATGAGGTATTTGGTGATATTCACTCCCTCAACCTGATTCTTGGCTTTTAGGAATTAGATATTCATATTGACATCATTATTTTTGGTTGATAAGCGAAACACGAAGATGTAAAATATTCTGGTAACTACCAGGTGCTCTGACTCGAATTCTTTTGTCAAAAATATACCTCTAAAGGACAATACTCTGTTCTCTAGTTCCTTTTTGATCTCTGAACAATGTTGTATATTAAATTAATGAACAAGTTCATGGGTTCCCTTCTGGTTACAGGAAACCTAGACGTGATGTGGAAATGGTGAAAGGGACTTTCTTTTTCCACTATATTATTCATTATTTGAATAACCCTTTTTCTTTAATTAATTATCTTATGACGAGGAAGCAAACAAGCACTTACATCTATTTTTATTGTTTGACAACATGAAAAACCACTGTTTACCTCTTTGACAACATAAAAAAACTTCCATCTAGAGATTAACAACGATATTGATTGTCGCGTTTTGCACGCCCTCAAAATTTAAAGCAGGTATAAATCCTCCCAATTTACGTGCTATCATGTTTTTTCATAATACATCATGGCATGTATCCAAGTAAATACTTACAAATAGTCTGATGTGTTTTTTTTTAATTTTTTTTTTTAGAGAATGTGAGTACAGATTTTCTCTATCTGGATTGTATTAATTTTTTCCTTTCTTGGTTATATCGACCCAACAATTAGAACAGGGTTAAGGAAATTGAATAACATGCACTGAAGGATGCACATTTAGTGTGTTCATTCCTTTAACATGCATCATTTTGTAGTATTCGTCCTTGCGATATATTTCTTTTACCAGCTGATGATGGTATCATGGGCTCAAATTCAATCTCAATAGCCTCTTATTTACAATTGTAACTGTTTCTGTTCTGTACTTACAAAATCCTTACAGACAAAAATATTTTAAAATTGACACTTTTTCCTGTTGAATGCCTTAAGTTTCAACTTGCAATGTTTTTAAGTAGCCTCACATGGAATGCCACTTGCTATAAAGTGTTTTTGTAGTCTAAGAAAAATCAGAGTCTGATCAGTTGCAAAATCTGCAGGTAACAAACTCAAGGGTTGCTGAACAGCGGTGAGCTACTGCTTGAATGTTACACTTTCAAATTTAACCGCTCTAGAGACATTTTTATTTGTTATTGTTTGCCTAGTTGACCATTGTCATCTAATTCAGGCGCCATTGACTATTCATGTCAATATTTGCACCTGCTTGGGGGTTAATCTTGTCCCCAGCTTATCAGACTGCATATTTATTCCCCGAAAAACTGCAGCATATTATTTTTATTGGATCAATATTAAAATTCTGGCATTGTTGAATACCTATTAAGGACGATAAAAATTCCAGATTCTGATAATCAGGTAGCTAGCATGAGAACACATATACTTTCTTGTGGATTATCCCCAGATCCTTTGGGATATTTTGTCACCTGACTTAGTAGATCTCAAACTGTAGTCCTCTGTCCTGCTGCTTTTTTTTTTTGTCTGTCAGAGGATTAGTGTATTTAGGCTGTGTCTGGTGGGGATGGTTTTAGGAAAACAATCAATTTTTTTACCGTTGTTTTCAACTTTTGAGGCCCAGTTGTGAGTGAATGAGTCAAAATGTGCGGCTCCTTTTTGAAATTAACGGAAAGAATTTCAATTTTCAGCACAAACAGACAGGCCCTTAATGGTAAGAAATAAAATGTCTGCTGATCCTTCGTTTTAGGGGTGGGGTTCCAAGTACACCATTGTCCAAGTATATAGTTTGCTGCTGTATTCCAGTGTTTTCTAATCTTAAGTTGTTAGATATGACCACATGTGTACCATTTAAATATTGTTTTCGGCATTTATATATCCTTTTACTGGTTTTCATCTTTTGCTTAAGCAGGAATGGCGACAATGATGCAATTGCTAAAATGAAAGCAACTGAAGACACTCTGGAAGCCAAAGAAAAGGTGGCCATTTCCTCTCCCCTTTTGCTTCCCCTATTGATTATGTTGCTTCTCTGCATATTTTGCCCCTATGGTTGTCCTTTTCGCTTTTTCCTGCAGGAACATTGAGAAAATATGAGTCTTTTTGAGCATTATTGTAACGAGTATTCATTAATTTTGTTTCCCTTTGGTACTTTTGCATTAGTTATCAGACTTATAATTGCATTGTGATTTACAGCAAAAGCCTTCATTCGAGCTGTCTGGGAAGCTTGCCGATGAAACTAATCGAGTCAGAGGTGATTACTACACTTTGACATAACAAGCTAATTGTTTGTTTCAAAAGTTGTTTGGTGGGATAGGGGATATATTTTGGTTTCTTTGAAACTTCGTCACATAGTGTGCTACATGTATATATGGAAATAGATTAGCTGAACAGGAAAATCCTGGAAGTTTGCTCCTAAATATGTGACATTTTAAAAGTAGCTGTATCTTAATGGTGTGGTGAACTCACATAAACGGTGTATTTTTTTGGATTGATTTTATGTTATTTTTGAGAACATTGATTATTTGGTTTAATGAATGTGATCTCATGACAAAGAAAACATTATTTAAGCTTCTGCCATCTTGCTTTCATGCTTTGGGAGAACCTTTTATGCAAGGCTTGAATAGCAAAATGATCAGTATATGTTTTGACATGTCACTATGTGCTTATCATGGGAACCAGATGAGCTACATAGAATGCAATGCATTCTTTTACAGCACAGGTTTTTCTTACGTAGTGGTAAAAGAAGTAGGAAACGAACATCTATTTTCAGTATCTTTTTATATGTGCCTCTGTAGATGTTGTAAACTATAACATAGTGGAAAAGAATTGGAAATACAGTTGCTAAAACATCACCTGCATAGCTGATAGGTTCTGTATCTGGCATCAGCCTATAGTTTAAACTCCTCAGCCTTTTGGATTGGAATAAACTTCAGCTACCTACACTTGATAAAGAAATCTTCTGGTGTAACTCTTGGATTTGTCCATGTTTAATTTCTCTTTTTTATAATTTTTCTGATACAATTTGATTTTTAATTAGGTATAACACTGCTCTTCACTGAGCCCCCAGATGCCCGAAAACCAGATATAAGGTGGCGGTTGTATGTTTTCAAGGGCGGGGAAGTGCTAAATGGTAAATCATTATTTGTCATATCTCATGTCTTTAATTCTATCTGTATCATCATTCCTTCATCACTTTTATATGGTTATATTCCAATTGCTAATTGTTTAAAATGGTCATCAAAGATTGACTCTTATCATGACCTTATTGTCCGCTGAGGGTTCCATCCTTGGCACTGGTAATTGTTTTTGGTCCTTATGTATTTGCTAGATTTCTTTGTATATTGGCTTTGAATATCATTCCCAATTTTCTTGCCCCATCTTCTAATACAAATCTCATAACAGTTAGCTATGAATATCATATCAGTCAAAATGCCAAATACAAAGTTGCACCTATCCTCAATGTGATCCCTGTCATAGTAGTTCACTGCCGTGTATTGCAGCTTGTAGACAATTGTTTGTGATGCAATGGACTGATTTTTTTGACCCTTTTTTAAATGTACTTTGTTCTCTCTCTCTCTCAATATTTGGCACATAGTGTTTTTATTTTCTGCAGATATCCATTTTGCCCCTTTTATTTTCTGTTTACAACTAGTTTCCATTACTTTTAACCTGGCTGATGTTCATCTACTTTTCCTTTTAGCTTCAGGAAAGAATTTAGAGTTCATGCAAACCATCTTTGTTTAGTTGTGTGAATCACTGATCTTTGGACTTCTGAAAGTGTAGAACCTCTCTACGTGCATCGTTTGAGCTGCTATCTTTTTGGTAGAGAGAGGAGGGTTGCTGACATCCCTACAGACCACCCATCTTGCAGCAAACAACATGCTGTTCTTCAGTATCGGTGGGGATCATATTTGAAGATACTGTTTCCTCTTTATTTTTCCATTTATACATATTTATGTAATTATTCGTTTGGTGTATATTTTTGTAGGCAAGTGGAAAAGGAGAACCCTGATGGTACCATGTCTAAGCAAGCAAGGTAATACCGAGGCTGTCTGCTTAGATTGTTTGATGCTCATTAGATGATTATGCCAATGTATTATTTAAATGAACTCACATATCTTGTGCATTGTACTAGACCGTATTTGATGGATCTTGGGAGCACAAATGGGACCTTCATCAATGTAAGCAATTTTTGGAGAATATTGTATATGCAATTCAAAGTGGTGCTAGTCATGGTTTTTTTTTTTTTAATGATTTTGTTTGATGTTTTCTTTCCCATGTTGCAGGATGATCGATTAGAACCACAGAGATACTATGAGCTTTTTGAAAAAGATACTATTAAGTTTGGGAATAGTAGGTAAGTACCAACTATATCTCTTCACGTGTTTGCCATATCTTCAAAGCTAATCGTGGCATGTCCATATCTGTAGATGTGAAATGGTACTTTGCTTATCAGTATCTTAGTGCTTGGCTGCAATGATTTGATCATCCTCTTGCTATAGACTTCTCATGTAAAATTTTCATTCACTTTCCCCGTCATGTTCTTCAAGTTGAATGTGAATTACCCAATAAGAATGAGGATGTAGGGACTGGACCGGCTTAGGGAGTTGAAGTGATATAAGACCTATTATAAAAATCTAGGTTGCTATCTGGAAATCCATCTACAACCTCAGAGTATAGTGTAATGCACTAATTCTGTTATACTTAATTTTTTCCTCGCCTTTATTGGTTAGAAATTGAAATGAGCCACCATATCTTAACTTCCAAAACTTGTTCGATAATAGCCTTAATTTATATGTTCGACATGTGTTTCTATTTGGTAAATGGTTAAACCTGTAATTTGAGGCGAAGCCCCTTATTTCTATGGTATCTTTGAATACCTAGAAACTTGCATGGGAAAATGTTTCCGGGAAAAGCAGAGCAAAGAGGAAAAAAATTCATGCTCATTTGGTGAACAAAAGAAAATTTGAGTTGTTCATATACCTTTTAGCTTTCGATATATATCTGAGTTGTTCCGACATTGTCATTCTGTATACCTGTTCTAGACTTCCATATTGACATTTTTTTTTTAATTTTGATGACTGCTTTCAAGTAGTTTAGATAATCTGATTATTTTGTTTATGGTGAAATTGGTCAAGCTATTGATGTAGACGCTCATAATGAATTTCCTCCTGTGCCCACATTAGAAAAGTGACATGCATATTTTCAGTTTTGGTTATCTTTTCCTGAGTGTCCTCCTTGTGGTTTTGCAGCCGGGAGTATGTGCTGCTACATGAAAATTCATCTGGATGATTCTCGACAAGATGACCTCCATTGGTCTCTGTTACTTGGCTAGAAGGATATGGAACAATTTGTGCCTGGAGAAGTCTCGTTTACAATACCAAAGTTGAACATTTTGAAGCCAGAGCAGAGTGATGTACATTTTATTTTTTTTCCCCTTCAAAACCAATGTTTACTTGAGTAACTATTGTACCCATTTTGTAAACTGCGACTATTTGATGGATCAGGATTTCTAGGTTTACATGAGAGTGAAATTCAAATCATGTGGCAATGTTCTAACACCAAGTGATGGTCAGATATTAGAGGCCGGTTTCGAACTGTACAGAGGAGATTATAACTTTATATTATTAATGCTGTTACATGGTTTCTGAAGTTAAATTTAACATTTAGGGCCATTTTACAAGGCTATTGAAAAGTCAAAAGTCGCTTTTGAAATTAAGAAATTGCTTTTAAATCTGTTTGGATAGTTTTCTAGAATATTTTGTCTGCTAGAAGAGTCGAGTTTTTAGAGGAAGTAGTGAGAGTTTTTTAATGAGAAGCAGGAGTAAAAGTGGAAGCTTTGCAGAATGGGCCCCTGATGAGTAAAAGAGTTTTTCCATGAGCAATACTCAAAATTTCTCTTATTTTTATGTTGCTTATATAATGTTGGGTTTCAATGTGGATCAGATTTGGCTGTCAACTGACATATACCTAGAGCTTGTTTGGGAGGAATTTTTGGAGGAAGAATTGATTTTGAATAGTGATATGATGAGAAATGTATGGTTGAAAAAGAAGAAAAAATTATTGATGTGATGATGAATATTATTTTATTGAAGAATGTGTGGTTGAAAATGAGAATTGATTTACTGTAGAAAAATCCAAATCCTTCCCAAACAGGACCCTAGTTTAATTTATATTAAGCAAGCATATAGAACTCCAAATCATGATTAAGATTTAGTTTGGCCGAGTCTTAAAAAGTTTCTTCTATGTTACTTGGCAAATTTTACTTATTTTATATTTTACATTTAAAAGAAGTCACCCTTTTTTTTCTATGAATATTTACATTTAATGAATTGTTCTTATAAGTTATAGCCTATAGGTAGTTTTCTAAGTTATATAACATACACTTCCTACATTTTCCAGTTTAAATAAATGACAGATTTCTATTAATTCAATGACAAATAATTTTTTTTTTTCTAATTAAAGAAATTGCTTAAGAAACTAAAGGAACCTGCAGTTTTGACAAATTTGATTTAGATAATCCTTTAATATAATAAATATCAACGTTATACAGAATTTAATGTGTAGTATTTTAAACTACAGAATTCATAATTTTGAATTTACTACTTAGGCAAGAAAATGTTATTACATAGTATTTGAACTTACTATCTAATTGAAAAATTTTATTTTCAAATTATGATTATTCAATAAGTTCTTTCGGAATCTTTATAAAAAAATAAAAAATAAAAATAAAATTAAGTTTTAATAACACTGGTTAGAGCTAATTACACCCTTTCACTCTAATTTTTAATATTTCCAGAAGTTTATTTGTCAGTTTCCCAAAAAAAAAAAAATGTTCAAGTTGAGAGTAAATTGTGTTTACCGACAAAATAAATTGTTGAGGCTCGAACTCTGATCACTGACGTGCTCCCAAAAAATTTAGCTTAAAAAGTCATGTTTTGCTGATACATTTTTGTTAGTGGAAACGTTTTCTACGAGATGATGATACGTGCACAGTGCTGAATATTTTCACTCCTCTGCCTTTCGAGATTCTTCCAACCTTATGGATTCTTCTGAGAGTCGCTTTATTCTTGTAGATTAGGGTTTGATATGTGTTCTTCATCTCTCTTGATAAACTTGTAAACTGAAATCAATATATTTATCAGCCTCTGTAATCTGTATTTTTGAGTGATTCCTGTGAGAATAAGGATTTTCTTGCAGTCACTATGTCAGCAAGCAATTGTGGAGTTTCTTGAGTGATTCCTTATAGATATGCAGATTGGTGTTAAAGAGATAAGTGTTCTGTAATTTTCTTTTGTATTGGAAGAATATTTTGTAACTTGTTGCCATTTTTGGGCTAAATAGTGCATCCGATTAGATATCCAATTTTTTGATGCTCAACGGGAGATATAGGCATTAGATGTGGTCGCCAAACCTCTGACGCTTAGGCCGAAATAATTTTTTGTGTTCAATATTTAATTTTCTACAAGTTTATTTTCGAATTGATTGATGTTTGGTGAAATCTTTTTCTTAATATCGTGTGTTGTGGACCTTTTCAGTGGTATCAAAGCCTGAACTGAGAACAAGATACTTGGATCTTTGCAGAAAGAGTTCGATCTGTTGCAGATCAAAAAAATTTGGAACTGCTGCTAAACAAGTTTTAAAGATATCGAGTTTTTATAAACTCGATGGGTGAGATCTTTTATTTTTGTAAAGTTTTCTTTTCAAAAAATTATGTTTTCTCGATTTTTTCCTTGATCTATGATACACTAAAAATCTCGTGGAGACTAATCTTTATTCAAAGACTCATACGAGGTCTTGGAAATCCGAGATTAATCCAGTTCGGGTGCGTATCTGGAGGATCTTATAGGAGAAGTCCACGAAACATACACTTTTGATCTCTGTTGGTGTGTTCTTTGTTTGTGTTTGCACTTTATGTTCCTTGATTGTGATTGAAACCTGAAAATCTTGTACTACTAAGTGTACTATTGTGATTTTAAAACTGCACTAATTGTGATTCCTTGTCTGTTCCCCTGCTATTATCTTGAACTCCTATTTTTGTATCATTTTTTAATATGACTATGGTTCTGCTAAGTTTGAAATTCCACAATTTGATGGAAGATGTGATTTTAATGTGTGGAGTCAAAAAATGAAGCAATTTTAATGCAAATGAGAGTTGTTAGGGCTCTAGATGATAGTTGGCTTATGGATTTGATTCCTGCTAAGAAAACTGAACTTGAGGAGGTCACCTTGAGTACTATTTTCTTGTACTTGTCTGATAATGTTGTGAGGGCTATTGGTGAAACCAAAACTGCTTCTGAACTGTAGGCTAAACTGCACGCTAAACATGTGATTAAAACTATTCCAAATAAATGCTATTTCCTGAAACAATTCTTTTCTTTTAAAATGGACCATTCTGTTGATTTGGATGAAAATTTGAATAGGTTTACCAAGTTGACCCAAGACTTAGCCAACTGTGATGAAAAGCTTTCAAAAGATCAGTTGGCTGTAGTCCTATTAAACTCTATTAGTGACAAATATAGAGACATTAAAATTGTTCTAAAATATCGTAGAACTCAAATTACCACCGATGAAATCATTAGTGCTTTAACAAAAAAAGCTCTTGAAATTAAATCTAAAACAAAAGAAAGTCATAATAGAGATAACCTACTAGCAAAGGGGAAAGGGTTTAGTAAACCTAAATTTCACTCAAAATCCTTAAATGAAAATAGGAACAAGTGGAATGATAAAAATAAATCCAAAAATAAGGCAAAAGGTAATAAATGCTATTATTGTGGAAAAATGAGTCACTTCATTAAATATTGTTATAAGAAGAAGAATGAAGCAAAAGATAAGAAATTTGATGATGGGAATACTGCCTTAGTTTGTAATAAAGAAAAACTTGAAGATGGGTTAGTCCTTATTAATATTGAAAAGAAGCTAAATGATTAGTGGATACTTGATTCTGGCTATTCTGTTCATATGTGCCCAAACAAAAATTATTTTCTTGATTTGAAACAACTACTGGGGGACAAGTAATAATGGAAAACAACATGACTTGTAAAGTTAGTGGAATAGGAATTGTTAAACTACTACTTGAAAATGGCAATGTACTATTCCTGAAAGGAACTAGATATGTTTTATAATTAGAGAGGAATCTGATGTGTTTAGGCATGTTGGATTTGACATAAAATTGGGTTAAGGACACATTAAAATTTTTAGGGACACTGATTTGATTATTAGCACCCTTAAGAGACATGGTCTTTATTTTTTGAAAGCTAAATCTTTACTTAGTTTGACTGCTGCTGCTTTACCTGAAACCTTTACTTTCGCAAAATTATGTCATGAAAGACTTGGCCATATTTGCAAGAAAAGTTTAAAGTCTTTTCAAAATAAAGGAGTTTTTGAAAAATAAAACCTTTGTGATTTTGGTTGTTGTGAACAATGTGTTATTGACAAGCAAGTAAAATTACATTTCTTACCTGAAATTTATAAATCCAAACATGCTGACCTATGAGGTCCTGCTTCCGTGTTTGCCTTGATTGGTTTTAGATATTATCTTTTGATCATTGATAATTTTTTTAAAAAAATCTGAGTTTTCTTATTAAAATCGAAAGATGAAACTTTTTCTATTTTTCATAGATTGAAAAGTACAAATTGAGAACCAAACTGATCATAAGATAAAAATTCCAAGAACGGAAAGTTGTTTGGAATTTTGCAATTATGAATTCAATAATTTCTGTAAAGAATATGGCATTTTAAGACATAGAATGTTGTTTATACACCTCAACAAAATGGCATAATTGAAAGAATGAATAGAACTTTATTAAATAAGGTAAGATGCATGCTTTTGAATTCTGGTTTACCTAAACTTTTCTGGGGTGAAACTGTAAAAACTGTTGTTTATCTTGTAAATAAAACCCCTTCTAGTGTCTTTAATTTGGAAGTGCATGAAACTGTTTGGTCTAAAAATTCTGTGAACTATTCTCACTTGAAAATAATTGGTTGTGCAGCATATGCTCATCAAAATATTGGTAAATTGGAACCCAGATCACTTAAATGTATTTTCTTGGGTTATGGTGAAAATTTTAATGGCTATAGACTAGGGGTTAAAAATGAAAAAAAAAAAAGGCTATAAGGTGATTGTGAGAAGATATGTTATTTTCAATGAGTCTCTTACACCATATTTGGAAGGGAAAGAAAATAACTTGATTGAAAAAGATGTTCAAATTAAGGTGGAATCTTCTTTAAATGAAAAAGAAACATGTGTACTTGCTTCTGATGAATCTGATCTTGATGTAAATGATACTTCG